TCTTACCATCCTTTCTGTCCCCTTCTCTCTCCCCCCCTCCCCCCGGGTGTCCTCGACATCTGACTTCTTTCGTCTTGCTCCCCCTCCTTCCCCCCTCTTCCCATCCTCCTAGGATGCCCTCTCCCTTCCCCACCCCATCCTTGGTCATGGGACACAACAAATTCAGTTCCAACACTAAATTTAGTGGGGAAATTTATGTCACAAGACACCAATTCCCTCTCCCCATACCTCTATGTTCCCCTCTCCCAATCACTCTTCACACTCTTACAGTGCCCCCTCCCTCTTTTGCTCCCCTTTCGCCATCAACCCCCACCTGCAGTGCCTTCCCTTCCCCCTCCCTGATCATGTGACAACCCTACAGTACCCTCCTTCCCCCTCCCTGGCTCCATTCCTGGAACAAGTAACTGTTTAATTACTTCCAAACAATTGAAACAATCACGCTTAAAAACTCCATATCATGCGTTATAGAACTTTGCCATTTCATGCATCGCTAAACAATGCCAATTCTTTTTTTTTTTTTTTTTTTACTGGACGCAAATAAATTATTTGCAAACTGGTTTGTGGGTAGATTATTTTTTCACACAGGGTAGATACAGTGGCGTCACAAGGGGGGTGCGGGGGGGGGGGGGGGGGGGATCGCCTAAGGACCGCCTTGGCTGCAGCGTACCGAGGGGGGGTCGCGACGGGCCACGGGGGGAGGGAGGGGGGTGGAAGGGGGTGTCGCCGCGGACCACCGCCCCGGGTGCCGCTGACCCTAGTGACGCCAATGGATTTCGATGCGCGCTCTTCAGACCCATATTGCTCACATCAGGACGTCGCCGCGATCAAGCATGGTCAATAAAGGCAAAAGAACGGCCGGGCAGGCAGACATGGCAAAGGCCCGGATTGTCCAATGAAATTGCAACTACGCAAAAGCCGCGGAGCGGGTTCGAAAGACAAACCACTAGAAGACATCCTGCCTTTACGGAAACGAAGTGTCTAGCGTTACGTCCGACGTAACCCAAGTTACGTCCAAATCTCCGCAGAGCGGGGGGTTACCCAGTTAGGTATACGCGTTTCAGTGCTCCGTCCGGACGTAACGCTAGCCACAGCGAAGAAAAAAACATATTTATTTTGCCCGAAATCCTTGTGTTCTCGAACGCGCTGGCTCATGAGCTCCTCCGCGCTGCTTAGCTCCTTGGCTCCTCTTCCCATTGCCACGAAGATAACAGAGGAGAAAGGAGGAGAGGTCTCGCGTTGGCAAAGGCGCGCAAGAGAAAAGTGAAAAGAAGTGACTGTAATTAATTCTTTTTTAAAAGTAATTGCGTTGTGTGTTCGTTTAGAGAGCTGGAAGTTAACCAGGCTCAATGGGAGTGCCTCACTGTTGACGAGAGCAAGTGCAGTACACTCTATAAAAAGCCGTGCGTCTGCTTTCCCGCGCAACACTCGAAGATCCAATCACTGCAACTTACGGAGGCAGCTCAGCGAATGACGATACCGAATCATATGTTTAGACCAAAAAACGCAGTTTGAGTTGTGACGTTAAGCAATGCAAGTGTGACATTTTGCATTGCTTAATGTCACAACTCAGACTGCGTTTTTTGGTCTAAACATCTGTTTCG